TCTACATCATCTCAGGTGTATAAATGTAATAAAGAAAATTAAACTCTTTAATCTGATGTTTAACGTACGAGAATTTGCCGGCACTGTAAGCAAAAGCTGTCTTTTAAATTGACTTACCATCATTATGAACTAAATTTGAAGATCCTACATTAGTATATTTAGTTATTGACAACAGTTTCTGTTGACGAATAATGCTCTGTGCATAGGATACAATATACAAAACTTATTTTGAATGTCGAGTAATGAATTTATTGTTTTGAAAACAATAGAAATCAGGAACAAGACAAGTGACCTATTGAGCTCATAATTCAAACATTCTGTGTCCATGAATAGATTGCACTAACAAAATAAAGTCAATGTAAAATAGAGGGAAATTAATCAGTAGTCCAAGAGTTGATTCTTGTTCCATTCCTATTTCGGAATCGTCAGCTACATGCATCTACTATCATCTATTCAACATAAATTTGTATCATAGGGTATATATCGATGCTATCTGCATAGAATGTACGAATACTGACTGATCAGACTTCAATCAAAATATCAACAGTGGAATAATTCAATTTATTACAAATTAAACCAATAATATGCTTGCTTTGTAACTCCGCCTGGAGCCCCTTTAGGCTACTGCTGGTCCCAAGCCCGGATAAAGAAGGAGGGTTGGGCATGGAGTTGGCAACACAATCCCACAAAAGAACTAACTCGCTAAAAAAACGCTGACCAGAACAAATAATTCAAATCATTTTAACTCTGCCCTGGAGTCAGAAGAAGAGTTGTGACGTCTCGTATTGAAAACCGAGTTCTCTAGGAAGTCACGAGGCCGATGCCCCTTCGGGCAACCAGAGCAACCATTCTTCCAGGTACATTGGAAGTTTGAACATTGTGGGAGACTGTAAGACTATTTCAAGTTGCTGCTTGGAATTAAAGAAACGCATTAGATGCAGGTAGGACAACTGAGATTAGCTTCAGTTTAATGAAATCTGTCAGCAACCAAGGTCGAAATGAGAGATCAGATTTTTTTCTGAAGTGTATATTTTTTTAAACCATTATTTAAAAAAGATAAATAGCTTTTAAACAATAATTTTTGAAAAAATCTTTAAGAATAAGTCTTAGGTTAATCTATGATCAAGAGCTCTTATTCCAGGAGTACTACGATGAAATCAATGTATGTAAAATAAAAATAGCTGAATTAATAACTTATGGACAACTAACTAACAATATTATATTCTCCTTCTACAGTTTCATTTATTATAATTTAGAAAATTTTCACACATTGATCTTAAGTTACAGTTCAACTTTGTTCCAACTGTGATCTCAAACAATTATGGGCAGGATCTCAAACAGTACACAAGGTACTTTTGTGCGACCGATAAAATTTACCCATAAATATTGGCTTGATTACACTTTTCAGTGGTAAGTGGAGAAGTATAAAAAGACTTGAAAAACAAACGGAAAAGTTGTGATAATCATGTTAATGTAAATATTTAGTGGTCTATTAAATTCACTTTAACGGCTCACTAAGCAACAGTTTTAAAAACTAGAAAAATACTTGGGAATAAAAGTAGTGTAAATTCCCAATCTGCATAGACAATTTAACAAAACGTAAGATGTGATATAATTCCTTCTTGTTACACAATCCTAGCTAGATTATTCTAGTAACGCTTAATTACTCAGGCCATTCAGTAGTAAGTATAAAATAATTTTAGTATTAATGTTGTTTTAAAATTCATATATTTGTAGTATCTTAAGGATTAGAAAAGTTCATGTCTTTTATTTTCTGGAGAAGAGTTAAGAAATGTTTTTATCATTAACAATCCACCCAAATGCTCAATTTATTTCAAATTGCCGAATCAAACCATCGTAATGACATCTATAATATTTGTGTAGGATTAAAATTATAGCACGTATCGCATTCTAAAACCTTACTCTACCAACTTCTAGTTCCAATTATCATTCTCTCTTAATGTGAGACTTGTGTCATTTCTTATTATTATCAATTGCTTTATCTATTAAAAGTAAGTGCATTCTATGTGCTTACTGAGTCGTCAGTTCACCTTATTTCTTGTTCTTTCCTCTTTCAGATAACCTCATAAATCGCTTCTTACGCTCCCCCAGCACAGAAGACACCTTCCGGTTAAACACAAACTTACCAAACGTTGAAGTTACAGCGAGCAATTTATTTTTCCTTGTCAAACATACTAATAATGCACTTCTCCATTCATAACATGTAGTTCTTTTAAATAAACGACTACTATGATTATGCTATCCATGTTTAAATTTAATTTTATAGTAGTACATCAGTACTTTGACAATTTCCAAGTTAAAAACATTTATTAACTATTATTTTATCAAAACATTGTCTCGCTTATTTTACTTTCTATGAAAAATGTAATCAAGTTTTAAAAATTAGAGGAGTGATTCTTTGTCACATCCATCGAATTCAGACAAATATTTAGTTCAATTCATATGTATACTTAATGAACTGTTTCATTTAACCGACCACTACTCAATGATAATACACTAGTAGAATGCATGTTTAATACAAATGATCTCACCCATACTTATAATTGTGTTCATATTACTGAAATAGAATAATCATGTATCAAAAGAACGATAATCTTCTTTTTTTTAGCGGTATAATTAAAAATATACTGAGGAAATTAAAAATGAAAGAGAAATTCTGTCAACCTAAATAGATAGATAGAGAGAGAGAAATAGTCTTATTGATATTATGCATTCAATTTGACAATCAATAGTAGTGATTTTGTATTAAAATAAATTTTCGAAAAATTATCTAAACATCAGGAAAACTCAAATGACAGATAAGAGAATACTTTTACTTAAACATAAGGATATACCACTTGTGATGGATATTTTTTGAAACCTACAAGTGTTAACCATTGCTTTGTATAAATATATATATATATATATATATATATATATATATATATATATATATATTTCAACTATCGTTATTATTCTACATGAAAGCTCATATTTTCAGACATTTGCACTAAAGACAATAAGTCCCGTTGTCTCTGAAACTTATCATCAGTGATTAGACAATTTGTTTTATTTAATTTTATTGATAATTTTAGTAAAGTACTGTATTCTTGAATTTCATGAAATGTACTGTTGCATTAGCATTGATGTAGTTATAGAAAATTCATTACACATCTTCGTAATATGCCGGCCCAGTGGTCCGGAGATTAGGCGTTCGTGCGCGCTACCGAAGTTAACGTGTCCGGATTCTGCGAGGTGCAGGAGTCGTGGATGTGCACTGCTCATGAGTCCCATACAAGGATGAAACGGCCATTCAGTGCTCTCAGGTTTCTAATGGTGGTCTAACAATGATTGATTGATGATTTTAAATTAGCTATTTGTCTATTTTATTTTATGTACAGATACAAGGGATTCAAAGAATATAATCGACTTGATAATTGACTTTTCTATCCTTCTAATAATACCAATACTTAATAAAAAAAATGATATTTTTATACGAAATAGTCAATGACTGCGAAAATGGAAGCGTTTGAACTACTTGAATACATTAAATAACAAGCCAATTTTCTTTCTCTTGTTTTTTTTATACACATCGAATAAACATGATATTATCTAAAATATTGATTGATCCTTTGTTTTAAATATTAAGCTGTTTTATGCGCTCTAAACTAGTCAGTTTACATAAAACAAATTTGAATATACTACCAGGAGTAACCGAATCGGAAATAAATTGCTATTTAAAGCTTATCAACTAAATAGATACATTGTTCAATATTATGATTTCTGATGAGACTGAAAGCATTGATTTATTTTTCACCTAAATTGTTCAATACATCAATATTTTACAAATGTACTAAGCCTGTATGATTGATTTTATTCAAGTAAGCTATAAATAACAGCTAACTAACTATTAGTATTCGTTAAACATAGTAGAAAACATTATATACTTCTAATTACAACAATAGACAAACATATATGGTAATTTCATACAACTAAACCTTAGATAATCCTTAACAATTTGTTAAGTAAAGACACTAATCCACTCTATCTTATGCATTATATAATATTACTTATATATGAGCAATATCTATTCAAAATAGTTTCATATATAAGATATGAAATCTGATTAAATAATATTCATCGTGTTTTTCTAGAAAATGTTTTTATTGATAGTGTACAAAAATAATTTCGGCTCAGCATCATAAACTAAGGTTTCATCGAAATTGATCTATTCAAACCGATCTGAAAAATGTTGGTAGTCATTAGGATTTGTTGGTGGTTATTTCTTATAATAGTTATATTTCTGATAGTAGTATGAACAAAGTCTTAATTATTAATCTGAAGTTAAAAAAATCAAAACCCATTCAATAGGATCGTTTCATTGTGATTCAATAACAAATGATGCTTTCAATTTTTAAAGATGAATGATTTTATTTCAAATTTTAATGAAAAGTTCTTCAAATATAATTAACTTTCAGTTTTAGTACTAATGGTGTATTTGACTTTTACCAAAATAACATGGCTTGACGTTTACATGCCTTGAATGATCAACAAAGCCGTATTATGTGACTGAAAATGAATTACATTAAAAAAAACCTAATCAACTTCATCAATAATCATGATTCTTCTTACATTATTACTCAGTTTGTTAATTATCGTTAGGTTCGTTTTATTAAAATTTATTTAAAATAGTTTGTTCTTTTTTCCTTTTGATTGATACAGATCGTTGTGCAAAGTTTTAAGGCTTATTCTACATTTTCGTATCTTACTTTAAAATCGATGATTATTCCTTACAAAATCAAGAGTAAGATGAATATTTGTACATTATCCGATAAAAACGGTCAAATTCCAGATCACGAAACAGGATTAAAAGGCTAAGCACTTCTCATTATAAACAAAAATGTGAGCTATTTCTTAACAGATCTGATTGTATTCAGTACAGCATTTTTACTATGAAATATTAATAAACAGTCAGATTGCAAACTCATTCAATGACTTACCCACAACAGTCATCCATGGCCAAATATGAGTTGGAGATAATGAAGATCTAATACTATTATTATTACTATTATTATTATTATTATTATTATGATCACCAACATTGTTAAGATGATTTCCTATATTTCCATTGTTCTCCATTTGATTGTTACTTTGTTTAGTCAACCTTTCACATGGTGTTGATGATGGTGAACACATATCACTACCACCATCGATACCGGATTCTCTACTGTGTCCACTTAAATTTAAATGCGATGGAACACAAAAGTTGGACATGCCTGTATTAGCCACCATATAATTTGTAGCAGCTGCAGCAGCAGCAATAGCTGCCACAGCAACTGCTGCATTATTCGACGATGTCACAGTCATATTCTGTCCCATATGTCTTATCATTTCTGGTGATGTTATATTAAAATTAGCATTATTGTAACCACTGGAATTCATACTACTACCAACAGAAGCAGCTTCTACTGCTGCTGCAGCAGCAGCTGCAGCTGCTGTTTTATTAGTAAATTGTTTGTAATTCGATTTAAAATGTGAATCAAGTGTTTGGTGATGATGATGATGATGATGAAGTGAATTAACAGTATTATTCATTTCGGAATTGACCATTGGTGTATTATTAGTAGAATTAGGATTTTGAAAATCTAAAAATGGATTTGACATATCAACACGTTGATGCTCAAGATTCATAATCTCTGAAGTTGAATGTTTTAAAGGGTGTCGTATTGATGAATTCAACAAATTAATCGATGAATAATTTGAAACTAACGGATGAAATGCACCCATATCACATGGTTGATTCAATGTTGATTTATTATAAATTGGTTCAGTATTCGTATTATTATTATTATTATTATTATTGTTATTATTATTGTGAACAGAAGAAGTTAAATGTTCATGTAATGAATTGCCGGGACCAAGTCCATTGTTACTGCTGTTCACAATATTATTTACTGTTGTATTACCAGACATAGGAACATGGGTAGAAGAATTAGTAAACAAATCAATAGGATGAGAAGTATTTGATCCAAGATCGAATTGATTAAATTCAGAACGTGATCGAAAAGTGTTCATTTTCATATTATAAACATTGTTACCATTATTAGTACTATTATTATCATTATTATGTATATGGTTACTCTTATTCATATTAGTAACATTCATTGGACTAGTAAAACTGTTTGAAAATCCAGCGGGAGAATTTTGATAAATTTGTGAATTCGTTTGATTTGTATCTGTAAAAGAATTAGAGAAAAATGCTGCAGCCAAAGCATTTGCTCTTGGTGATGACGTTGAGATTGTGGGATTTACAAATTCATTATTACAAGTAGATAATGAATGTTGACGTAAATTCGATTGTGTATTCGAATGTGATTGTGTATGATTAGGAAGTTGCATATTATTACCAGCGTTGTTATTCGGTAATGTATTTTGATTTAAAGTGTTATTAGTACTATTATTAGTAGAAGTATGATTACCATTATTATTATTATTATTCCATTCAGATCGAAATGTATCTATTTGTGATGAATTAGTTATGTAAGAACCTATGGAACGTGGAAATAAATTATCAAATGCAGAATTCAGACCAAGGCGATTGTCTGTTGGAAACATAATAAGATTAGTTGAACTATTCTCCTTTTTTGATGATATTAAATCAACAAAATGCCACTGATATCAATGACAATCACAATTGAATTAATAATGATGAATTGGATGAAATTATGAAGATATTTACAAATAAAAACGATGAATAACAGTTCAGTTCAATTTTTTCTTTATATTTAATTGTATTGTTTTTACAAATTTCTGCGTATATCTATTGAATGTATTTTGTTATTCTACTTACCAGGGAAACATTTTTTTATTTAAATCATAAGTTGATGAGCAATTTTTTTGTTGGTTGTTATTTGAAAAGAGAAATGTTTTTGTTAATTTGATTCAATCGATTGTTGTGTTTTGAAATGGATTTATTTCAATGTAATAAAGTTTGATTCTACTAGTGAAATATTAATTTCGTAACATTGATAATGAGGATGATGTTGATAATAATCGTTATAATAATGTCAATAAAAATAGTAATAATAATAGTAATTACGATTATTACTATTATAATTAGTATTATTACATGTGATATAATGAATTAATAGTGTTGATTATTATAATAAAAAATAATGACTAGTGAAATAGAATACTCTAAATTGTAAATTAACTGATAAAATAATATGAGTCACAAATATTAATTCTTTAATTGTGTATATATGCGTGTGTATGTTTAGTAGGTGAATGTGTACACATTCAACTAGTATCTGTTATCCCCCATGATCATTGCATATTATGATGTTACAGTGTAGTTCAATGGATAGATTTATTTTTCTACCAGTAAACATCCTTGGACAAAGGAAAGAGAAATAATCCAAACAGGAACAAAAACGAATATGCTATTTTGTTCAACATCAAGATATATGTGTAGATAGACACACTGACAAAAAACATTGCATCAACAAAACAAGGGATACTCTTTGTTGCCTAGTATCTGGAGAAAAAGTAAAACTATATTTCACCATATATATAGATAATGAACACTTACTTAGGTTGCTTGTCAATGTGTTTTTTTCACAATCTCTGAAAAACTTTTCTTACCAGTTTCTTGTTTATTTCATGTGCCTTCCCCTGACAGAATTGTTTTTTTCTAAATGTAAACTTGTTACTTTATTTAACCAATCATTGTACGAGTATAACATTTATGTAGTTATCGGCTAATAATCAATGTTGACTGTTGACTTTTGATTGGTTAACAGAAATAAATAGGAAAGAAACAATAAATTGTTTTTAAGTAGAGGGAGTAAACACATTGGAGTAAAAAAAAATTGTATGAAAAGTAGAGAAAATACTCATTTTCTTTTGGTATCATCACGCAATACTTGGGAGGAGGGGAAAATCAAAACCATCATATAAATTGGCGCCAAAACAAACTCTAAGCATATATCTTGTTAAAACAAAAATGTTGATTTGTGTTTATTACCTTTGAAACTGGTAAATGTACGCGCACAAACACAATCAGGCGTTTGTGCATTTATATATGATCCACAAAACACTATACTAACAACACTATTGCGCATAACAAACAATATACTCACATTACGTTACCTTATGTTACCTTAACAACAAAAAGAGCAATAACATGAATAACATTAAAAACAATTTACGTAAAGATTTACGCAAATCAAATAAATATATACAAACGATTTGTTTATTACTAGCATTAAGCAGAAAAAAAAGAAAAGAAAACGAATCAGTAAATAAAGTGAACCGGGAAAATTGTAAGTATGCGGGGAAAAGAAAGAACAAATGTTAACAAATAAAAAATAAAAGCACATCTCCCTCCTGTTAATTTATACTACTTGTTTATGTATGTATATTAATGCAATTTATGTAAAAAGAACAACATTTTTTTCGGGAATATATTTCTTTTGTTTTATTTTTTGCTGACCTAAAGGGATTACTAACTTAACTTCTTTCCGTAATACTTTGTATTACCACTATTATTATTATTACTATTATTATTATCTCTATTATTGCTGTGTATTACAATCATGGCTTTCATCAAAGAATTACTAAACTGTTAAACAAGGTGTTCAGTCGCCATAATGTTTCAGAGTATGTTTATGATCGGATAGTTGAAAAATAAACTGCATAAATGTAGTGAAGCTATAGTTTATCGCTTTGTATTTGGGTAGAATATAGATAACATTACATTGATGTTGTTTTTTACATTGCCTGAATTTAAGGAAAATGTGTTTCGTAGAAGCTAACGATATATCACATGTTTGGTTAGTATAATCCACTATGTATTTTTGTAAATATGTAAGCCTTTTACGAATAAACATCAAGATTATTCACTATGATAACAGGTTAATCAGAATTATACAAAATCTATGAATGATCTCTTGTAATTATATAAGTGATATACTTGATAATTAGCGAACGGATAAATGTAATACTGAGATAAGAAGCGAATAGCGCTTTACTCTAACACGTTAAAACACAAAATAACTGTAACATGTCATCAATAACTTTTACTTCATGTACGAATGTGGACGAAGTAATCGAAATTGAGAAAATATCCTTCGTTTTCTTGTACAGAATTATAAAAAATGAGTGACTTACATTTTACAATAAACGTAAGTGTGGTAAAAATTCCTAAGAAAGTTTAATGATATCAAGAGAAATATATTTTTTACTGGATAAGGATGAAAATGATGGTATGGAACACATGGAATGATGATTTCTTTTCATGCAGATTATACATTGAACGTAAATCAGTGAGACTTGTTTCAATTAACTTTGTTAATTGTAAATTCTTAAAGAAATTACTTTATTATCATCTCATTGAATAACAGGCAGAATAATAAAGTAAGATGGATAAAACAGATAATTATTTTCAATCTCAGCTTCATCATTCCGTTGTTTTCGAACTCCATTATCCTAACACTTCAACCAATTCGTTATTACAGAGTTTTGTAAACAACTATCTGTGGAAAAGATAAGGATTCAAAAAGAGTCCTCTAATGCAAATAAGTTTGGAGCCAGATAAATGAAATTATCCGGTGACATCTCTCTAAAAATATAAAACTGAAAAATTGACAAGTTATGAAAAGACCGAAAACTGGTATATGTTAACAAGTTACATTAATTCTGAACCAAAATATTTCGGAGTTTTACAAACTCTCTATTCCTTGCTGAAATGTGAGTTCAAAATTGCAAGGTCAATTTAACTTCGCTGTTGACTCGTTCCTACACTATAGTTAGATTAAATTTTGCTGTCGTTAGGGTTAGACTTATTAGAATACCATTAAACAATAGTTGCTTTGGCATACATCTGTCAATATCTTTGAATCAAAATCCATGTCTCAAATAGAGATGAGTACTGGCTAACAATGAAATCCAGGACTCGCATTTCGTCCTGGAAGGAAAGATGTACCTGCATCTCAGAGTTGGTGTTCACTTCGATACTCCAACCTGATACCGTTCTTTTCAAATATCATCGCGTTATCCACATAACTACAGAGTTTAAAATAGCCACTCATTTTTGCAATGAGGTGAATGAATTATTCACTCGTATTGTTTGCGACTTAATGACAATATCGAGATAATCCTCTTGAGATACATGCATATCAAATGAGGCTGATCGATATCTTGATCCCATTTTCTGATTATCATGTAATACTGAATAACAAAAACATTTCTAAGTAGAGAATCACTTTGTATACCCTATTCGTCAGAGATTGATTTCAGCTGATTTACCAGCGAAAAAAAAGGAAACAATCGATAGCTGTTTCATCCAAGTAAACATAGTGTACTAATTATTGGAAGGTCGTTGTAAAAATTGTTGGTCTTAGTCTCAGTTCTTAAAGAAATTATATATTCATGTTGTTGAAGTGTCTCTTACTGGAACAAACTGGCTATCGAATGCTCTCTGATTTTTACTCGTACTCTAAATGAACAAATCTTTAAGAAACTTCCTTATGGAAACCGAATTATTTGCGAATAACTTACTAGTTGCTTTGAAAAATGAACGAATTTTATTATTTATAAGTAGTTTATTACACTAATGTCAACCAAGTTATTACCGTAATAAAACCTAGTAGAGCATAGTAAATACCAGCGCTATAACAGTTAGACAAATAAATATCCAGTTGAAATTTGGCCGTCCTCAGTGAAAATTACTAGTTTAAGAAACATCATTTTTAAATCCATTTATTTATTGATTACAAATTTTTCTCTTTTCCACAATTCAGTGCTTGCCAATTATCATTTAGATATGTTTCAGAATGTGCCTGTTTTCTTTGCGATTTCAAATGAATCAGTTTTCTTGTAAGAAGGACCTAAACGGAAAAACGCCAGAAAAATTCGAATAACTTTGTTGAACTTGATAATCAAACTATAAAAGTCAGTCATGTATATGGTTACTATGTGTGAATTTTTCTCCCAGTAAGTGATCTACTTTCGGTGACATAACAAAATAGTCCTATTGCTTTATCTTACACTTTTACTCAGAATATTCAAAAAGTACTTCATTATGAACACAAGAGTACATGAATGTTTTTGATACGGAGAAAACTGGGATTTCGTTCATGAATTTTGAATAGTTATCGAATAAATGTTTGGTTAACCTTTTGTAAACACACACTACATAGTTTAGAAGGTGAAGTTTACCTTGGACAGTTTTACAGAAATATACCTTCAAATTATAATTAATTTCCTCAGTATAGCCTACAGTCTGACGTATATGATGACATTAAAGTTGTACATAATCCTCTTCATAAGTTTAGTATATATCTTTATTTTATTTGAATACTTACACACTTCCATTAGGTAATCAAAATTTTTCAATATGTGAATAAAAATAATTTTTTGACTGATTTATAAAACATTTTCAAGTTATAATTCAGAATATTTTAAATCACTTTAAACCTTAATTGTATCACGATTTGGCACACAAATAGTGCTGATAAAATAATGATCAATTCCTTAACTATTTAGTGAAACATTTTGGCAAAAGTCAACATATTCAACTGCATTATAAGTGAATCAATTTTCCAGATATTTTT